GGTTTGGGCACAATGGAGTGCAGTGGAAAGGACACTCAACAACAAGAAGCCTCAGTTTTAACTCAGTTTCCTACTATTCCAGCAGTCTAAGATTGGCAAACCATGTTCTCTCTTTGGGCTTTAGTCTTCCCATCTAAAACAAATAACAAAAAAGAGGTTGATAAGGGCTGGGGCTGTAGCTCAGTGGCAAAGTGCTTGCCTAGCATGTGTGAGGCACAGAGCTCGATCCTTAGCACCGAATAAAAATAAAAACAAAATAAAGGCATTCTGTCCATTCATAACTACAAAAAAGGTTGAAAAAGATTATATGTCAGATCCTTTTTGATATGTCATGAATCCATTTTTCAAAAAATGACAAAAAATAGCAGCAGCACCAGCAATAATACTAAAGGTTTATCTTGTGCCAGAAATCTTGCTAGGTACCATTTACTTATGATACACTTTTTGTGTGGCAATATTGTCATTTCTGTATCACTTGTTTTTCAAACTAGAAAGAAGATGGCAGATTTGACTATATTTCTTTTTATGGTTACACCATATGTCTAAGAACAATTTGAATCTATTTAAAGTAAAAGATCTATAAAGACTAAATCTCAGTGGAGTAACAGAGACCACTTAGCAAATGTAAAAAGGGTACATAAAAAAATACATTTTTTAAAAAATTGCAGGCCGTGTTGGAAAGCCACAGTGACTGAACTAATCCCAATACTAAGTTGACAGCCAAAGCAATGAGAAAAATGCAACTGGATATGAAGCTCTTGTGGAATAGAAAAACAGTAACTCAAAAAGATTTTCCAGGCTGAGCCTTAAGAAGAATTTGCCCTCTTGGTTTTAGTTTGATTCTGGTTGAGAAGATAGGAATGAGGCAAGAAGGGAAATAAATTTTTTGAAATGACTTAATAAGCTAAACCAGTTTTCAGTTAGCTAAAATGAAAATTTAATTTTACAATTATACAACCATTTACTATTCAAATTAATTTTTTCAACTAACAAATATTTTGAGATTAACCTAGAATTGATCCTGGATTAACTATAATTCTATTGGCCTATTTAAAATAAGTTTCCTTTTCAAAGGGCTACAGAACTTTATCAAGTGACTACAAAGCCCTCTTTGAATTTTTAAAGTAAAAATTAGCTGATCTGCTGGCAAGACTCACAGCCAGAATCTACTGATGTATTTTTTCAAAATAATATTCCTATCATTCATGCCTATTCACTATTACCCTCATGCTTTTATGCTTAAGAAAAGTTCATAAAGTAGGTATAAAAAACAAATGGTAGGGATTGGGGCTGTAGCTTAGTGTAGAGCACTAAATAAACAAATAAAGGCATTCTGTCCATTTACAACTACAAAAAAATTTTTTTAAATGGCAGATTCATTTGATTCAAATACACTTATTAAAAACTTAAGTTTTTTACATATGATCTCTTTTCAGAAAAAAACTTGCAGAGAAAACTTATTCTTTGGTTGTTGCTTAACAGAAAAAAATATATTTGAAATATTAAAAACTATGAACAGTGCTTAACTTTTATTGTGGTAAAATACACATAAAATTTACCATTTTAACTATTTTAAAGTTATAATTACATTATTGTATAACCACCAGCAATTGAATTATTTTTAAATCTGTCTATAATGCTGGATTTTCTTGTCAGCACTAACAATTCCATATTGTTCTCCTAAAAATAATTTGTAACTGAAACTTAACATTTTCTTATCTAAGTAAAAAGTACATTATAAATAAGAGATATAATTTATAGTATTACCATAATTGATTTTCCCACCTAAGGTTTCTATGACATCAGCAAACTATTTCACTAAAGGATAACTCTACCAACTAAATTCAGCTATTTTTTTAAAGCCATGTTTATTCAGCATATAATCAGGATATTAAATTTAGCAATCAACAGCAAGGGTGCCAAAAAAACCCCTACATCAAAACCCTTTGCTGGAAAGCTTTACATGTTCCACAGAACAGAAACTAAAATAATCTGTTATACAATTAGTCCTAAACACAGTCCTTGAAGGTTATTTGCCTACACACATGAGTTTTGTCTAAAACGTGTCTTCCTAGTAGCAGTTAAGCCCTACCACCATGGTGCCTGGCTGAGTTGAACAACTGGCTGTAACCTCTTGCTTCCCTGTCACTTCTCTGGCTCTCCTCTCCCCCTAAGCTTTGAGTCAGAAAAATTAAGACTTTCTGCCACTACCATGGATGGCTACTGCGGTTGCTGGAACTGCTACAGCCACGTTGGTTTCAGGATTTGACAAAGTACTTTTTGGCCTCCACCACAATAGGGGCTAGAGCTTCTGCAGTCAAAGTTTCCTCCCTCATGGGTCCAAAATTCAGACTGATTGTTGTTAACTACCAAATCACGGTAGCTACCACCAGCTCCAAAATTGCTTCTATCATTACCAAATTCACTGTAGCCACCTCCACTGACATTATATACACCACCACCATGGCTGTCACCAAAGCCACAGGATCACTGCAATTTCCTCAAAACCAAGTTGTCATTATCAATGAAACCACCTCCACAGCCATCACCAAAGTTTCTAGAATGACTTCAACGTCTTTGACTGGACAAAACACTCATCATCTCTTGCTTTGACAGGGTGTTCCTCTACTCATAGATGTGGCAATTCACARTATGATGTTTCTAAATGACAATCTTATCCACCATCAAAGATTACAAAAGCAAGGCTCCCCCTTCTTGCCACTGCCTTGGTCAGTCATGATTTCAATCACTTCAATTTCCCAAACAGTTCAAAATAATTTCTCAGGTGATTTTCTTCTGCATCTTCTTTAATGCTACCAAGAAAGATCTCCACAGCCAAGTGGGCACCTGGTCTTCTCTTGAGACAGCCCTCTTTAGTTCTAATCTTTTCCATATACCTTATGCATCCATCTCCTCCACAGTATCTGAGTGACAAATCCCAAACCCCTAAAGCACTTGGTGTTTGGATCTCACGTTACCACACAGTCTTTGAGTATTCTCCCTTAATCACAATAGCTATTCAGGTTCTGTAGGAGAAGATATGATGGCACTGGGAAGACAGACTCTAATGATTTTTCCTGAGGATGTCAACAGGCAGAAAGGACCCAATTGAACTCAACCCAACCTGAACATATGGAAGAAAATGAATTCTGAATCCAGAAATGTCAGCACTAACAATTCCATATATATGTATAATACTGATCACAAACTTTCTTAAAGTCAAAAGTGAATATCTTCCTTTATTAACTGGCTCAATGATAYACAGTAAGGGCAAGGATGGGCTAAAAGAAGCAAAAGAAGATATATGACAGATATTCCAGAGACACACATAATCAAAAGCACACTCCTCTGAGTAGGCTTTACAATTGTACCCTTTAGAGAAGACTCTGCAGAGCATTTTATGTAATGATATATCAATTTGCTACCACCCTTTAAAAGAATGAATTATAAGAGTACAAGGGTAGAGACAGGAAATACAGATAAATAATTAACCCATTCAAATATCTACTCAAATAACTGAGATGGTTTTACCTTAGTATCATATTTGGATTTTAATATAAATTTATCTTTTCTAAGTTATTTCAAATTACAATATATTAGTCACAGGTTTCATAAGGCAACATTTATTAGCTTCAAAGAGAATTTATTTTGACTTGATTGAAATGAATGATTTGCTTTTCTTCACTTTTCAGCAGACCCCTTTTATAATCATTAAGACATGCCTGTTATAAACGGTTGGGGGGGATATTCATAATCAGTAAGTGACAATTTGTAGTCAAGCAATCTTCAGTTTTTTAACTTTGGAGGGCATCTATAGTTAAGCTCATACACACAATGTTAAAGTCCCATCTTCATCACATATGGAAAGGATGCTGGCTTACCCACCTACTAGGTCCAGATTATATCAATTAAGCCTTAATGGTTATGGTTAACAGTGCCCATTAAACAAATGTCAAACAAGTGAATAAATATTCTGGGAGGGGCCTTCATGGAGAAGGAGCTGCCATTACCTAGAGAAGGGGAGGCATCTCAGAGAAAGAGAGATCTGGTGAATTTATACTTGGAAATCTTTAAAAGAGAAAAATTGCTCCAAAAGAACATCCACAAAATGTTCAGAAATATATACTACATCACAGATCATGGTAGTAAGCATTCCATAAAATTCTTAAACTTTGGTAGCTTTTTAATGTCTTATTTGTGAGTGACTAGCAGTAAAATTTTTAGGATAGAAAGGGTCCAGTTGTGTGTTCACAGAGGTAGCAAGAAAGAGAGAGCTACTACATTGTGCTGATAGGAAGGAGGAGCTGAACCCTAGGGATGAAGGTAAGCAATGCCAGCTTTAAACAAAAAAAAGACAACAAACTAAAGATTGTGCCTTTGCATTTCCTTTTTTAAAACAGAGTATGGCACATAGTATCTGCTGTTTCCAAAACATCTACTGAATAAATGATTACTTCCTTCCATCCTTTCCATCTAGCCCTTCATTATCCCTCCAGCATCTAGCATCCAGCATCCATTCAGTTTCTCCCTAGGACCTGCGAAATTTAAAGGATCAAGAGGTTTTAATAAGGGTCTTAAAACTTTTCAGTCCACTTTCCTGAAATCCATGAAAATACAGTTAGACCTAGAAATTGAAAAATAAAATCAACTCTGAATTCATTTCCTACTGAGTTTTTTAAGTTCAGAGGGAGAATCCATGGCTATTTTCAGAGTGAATAAGATTTTGTTATTGTATTTTCCCAGGATAAAAGATTTAAACTTTGCAGGAGAAATTAGCATAATTCTACCTTAAAGATGTGACAAATGGGTAAATATTATTTTTCTTTGAAAATTCAGATYGACCCTTTCTGATTCATATTTAAAAATCCAATTTCCCCCTCTTTTTACCCCTTCCACCTCCCCACAAAATAGCTACAACAAATACATTTGCTCTCCCAGTTCCTTTTGTCTCACACCCCAAAATGGAAGAATCCTGACTGAATTCAGTATCAGTTTCTTACCCTGCCAGGAAAGCCAAGGAGTAGGAGTTGTTCTTGGAAACAAATGCCGAGCGATGTGTCTGGATCATCTGGCCTCCAGAAGGTTCTTCATTCTCTGAATCTGAGAGACGTGCAGGACACTGTCAAGGAGACAAGGGAGACAAGGGAGTCCATGTGGGGTTCCTATGTAACCTAACCTCGCTTTGTTTCAAAGCTCTTGTTCTCTACGTCTCTTTAAGTTTCAATGTGTTTTCCAAATGCCTCCTAAGGATCCCAATCTCAAATGTAGCTTAAATTCAAAAGATCCAACATYAAAATCACGGTTTTCCCCACCACCAATCCATCTAATAAACCTCAATCCCATATATGATTCTTTTATTTCCCTTACTTCTAAGTCATAATAACGTGTATAAAGGTTTTGGTATTCCAATACTTCTAAATATTTATTTTATTAATTATTTATATCAGTCCCATTAAAACAGATGTCACTGATGGCTAACAAGGTCAGAGTAGCTAATTTGCCTAGATTAGGATTATACAGTTTATGAATGGCTAAAAAAGGTTCCTAAATTCAAAGCAACAGTCTCTGAGCAATTTATACTCTATTACTAAAATGTCTCTCAAATTTAACTCCTTCCATTTATACAGACTGGCATTGCCCTACCTTATCATCATCAATCTTTGCTTCAACTATTACAATAATGTATTTACTGGTCTCACTTCCTTCAGGTTTTCTTTCCTTGAACACTCTTCATACTACCAAGAATTATCCTTCCAGCACGAAGAGAATTCTCTCACACCCTTGCTTAACTGTTGGTGATCTCAGGATGAAGGCTAAACACTCAGCATGATTCAATAACGTTCATAATCTAGACCCAACATTCTTTCACATTTTTTCCCCACCACTTCCTCATATGAAACTCCATGAACTCCAAAAAAAAAAAAAAAAAAAAAAAAAGAAACTCCATGAACTCCAGTCCAATCAAACTGCTATATGTACCATGGCCTTTCAAAACTATTGTYTTATATTTCCTTTTCCTAAAATTCCCTATCTGCATTCTTTGTCAATAAAAATACTTATCGGTCTTTCAGAGTCATCTGAAAGGCTACTTTCTCTACAAAGGCTCTCAAATTCCTCTAGACTTGGTTTTATCTACTTTGTCTATATTCATTCATTTATCTTCATTTTCCTTTGTAGTCCTTTTTTAGACTTTTTCAATTCACATTTGAATTATTTTATTTTTAAATACACCTTCTGCATACAACATATAGTGAGGTTGTATGTCATGATTTCATGAGACTCTTTTCATGAGTAGCAACTAATTACACTGAATTGTAGCTTCTTATTTAGGAGTCATTCTTCATTAGACAATAAACTGTAAGAGCAAGTGATCACCTTTTCAAAAAATTTCCTATACTACTATATAGTAGGTAATCAAAAAAATCTAATCATCTAATGATTAACTCCCTCTGATCAAATGATTACCAAAGTGAAAGTTACACGCATAGGTATGCCAGGCAACATGTGGGTCACAGTGCTCTGCATTCCTTAAATACACTGTTACTCTCTAGTCTGGTATACACAATAGGCTACGTCTCCTAACTGTGGCCTTTGAGAGAAGAGTTGAAGGATTACAACTCACAGAGAGGCCTTTCAGTTTCAAAGGATATAACTCCTTAGAGAACTCTACTGCCCAAAATATTCACTGAAGAAACTTTAACAGCACTGACCCATTATCAAATTTGATATGATATTGTCCTCTTTGGAAAAAAGAAAAAGCTTTGATACCAAGAGACTCAACAGGGAATAAATAATGGCAATTCCTATTTGGGCATCTCTTTGTAATCAGATCAGTACTAAATTAAAAACTTCAAATCTTGGCTCTATTACTTGCTATCCCCATCAATGTAGGTTAGGTGTTTTATCTTTCTGAGCCTCAGTTTCCTCATGTATAAAATTAAGATTGTTCTACTTAGTTTCTGATAAGCCAATAAAAGTACCTCATACATTAGCAAACAAATACTAGAAAAAGATATTTATTTATTTATTTAAGTACTATTAATATTTTTAAAATTTTAGCTTTATAGCAAATATTCAAGTTTATTTTAATTGTTGAAAATAAATTTAATTATTATAAATAAGTATCTATTTAGTCAAAAGCTATGCTACCCCTACACATTTCTACAACCAAACACCTTGAACCTTGAGAGAAGAAAATATTTACCTCTCATCTTTTCCTTAGATAAAAGTTAATTTTGGGGAAGGGGAGTTTACAGAGAAAGTGACCTTTAATATGACTCTGAAAGGTCAATGAATAGTTTATAGGCAGAGAATGAAGATAGGAATTTTAGACAAAAGTAATAGCCTGTCCAAAAGAACAGTTTTGAAAGCTCTGGTACATGTAAAGAGTGGAAAGTTGTTTAGTTGTGCTAGAGTTCATGGAGTTCCAGTAAGAAATGGAGAGGAGAAAAGCAATGACAGAAAGTTATTGTATAAAGCACTGTGGATTCTTAAAAGGGTACAAAGCATGCATAAATGGAACTCCTGCAGCAACATGTAAAAAAATGTTGAACCTAAAAAAATTAAGAGACTGAGCCAGGCACAGTGGCACATGCCCATGATCCCAGTGGCTAGGAAGCTGAGGCAGAATTATGAGTTCAAAGCCAACCTCAGCAACTTATCCAGGCCCTAAGCAAGTTATAAAGACTTTGTCTCAAAATAAAAATAAAAAAATAAGAAAGGCAGAGGATATGGCTCAGGGGTGAAGCACCCYGAGTAGACAAGGAGTGAGGAAATTAGTTTAATACTCTCCTGTACTACTGGAAGTAGTGTAATTATATACAAACTAGTCTAGAGGCCAAATGAGTAATAAATATTAAAAACGTTAAAAAGTATATTTCCTTTGACCTGGTCATTTTACTTCTGGCCATTTATTTCTAAGGTACTAATAAGACAAATGGATTTCATCACAATGGTATTTAAGATAGCAAAATATTAACAGATTAGTTTAGTTAAATAAACTCTACAGTCAAGAATACTAGGAGAGGGTTAAATCTCCAGAATCACACACACATAAAAAAAGAATACTAGGAGATCATTAAATAATGATGTGGATTCTTAATTTACAGGGAAAGATGTCTACAATTCATAGTTAACTAAAAATAGGTTATAAAAGGGCTGCATTTTCTGGAAAGGCAATAACATATAGTATGTATATCATGCATGCAGAAAAGAGTTCTGAACAGATATTTACCAAATGTTTATAAGGATTACTTCTAGGTTATACATAGTGATTTTCACTTTTGCTTTATGATCTTTAGTATAACTGTACCTATACTGAATCTTTTTCCAACAACTCATACTATTATTGGATTAGCTTCACCATAACAAATTATAATAAACATTGTGTCTACCATTCTGAAAAAAAATAACACCACATGATAATCTCTGCTTTGAGAAAAAACTCTTTCTCTCTCCATCTAAGTTGTATTGCATAAACATATTATCAAAATCTTGTCATGTACAAGGTACTTTAGGAGATTTAAAACCTGGTAAGACATATTCCAACAAATTTGTGGTCCCACGAGAAATACAAAAACACACACAAAAAAACACAATGCAAGGGAGAATGAAATACTTTCTGTATGTTACAAAGTGTGGGGGCAAAGAAGGAAGGGTGGATGACAGAATTGGAGAAACAGGTGAGGAATCCCTTTAGCTTCCATGAAGGGACTACTTTTGAACAGGACACAGGGAGTTGAATAGCCTTTCAACAGGTAGGATGGTGACAATGCACCTTGAAGAGAGAAAGCACAGCATATATATTTTGGAGAAAGCAAATACCTCTGTTCCCTAGAGTTTTGGGAAATAATCAAGGATGGAAAGATAATCTAGAATCATAGTTAAAGAAGGACCTAAATACTGGGGTGAAAAATTCTCATTTAATTCCATGGAAAAAATGAAGTCACTGAGGTTCTGATTAGCAGAGTGATATGATCAGTCCAGCTCTAATCAGAATACTACCTATATAAAAAAAGAATCACTGAATCATTCAGGCTAGCTTTCCTCTGGGACCACTGGAGATTCTCTTGGGTTCCAATTCGAATATAGCCTTGGCTAACTAAATGAAATTATTTACCCAATACCAAAACTCTTTAAAACATATTTAAAGTACAATTAGGATCATTTAAAAGTCCTCAAAAATATAAAAGTAAACAGGAAAAAAGGCAAAAATCTAAAACATTAAGTGTTCATAGGTTAGATTTTATTCATTGTGGTTTTGCAAGGAAAATTTTGTGAAGCTGGCTACTACCAATAAAGGAATCTGAGAATTTGTACTTTCTTATTCCTTTTAAGATTTCAATTAGGTTGATGCACTGGCTTTCTAAATGAAAAATAGTAGTGGTAAAAGAAAATAATTAGAGCAAATTCCCAGTCTTGGCATGCATTAATATTAGATCAGTTCCTAGAGAAAAGCTGAATCTGGCAGGCCAGGCACAGTGAGCTCTTTCTGTCAGAGGACTATGGTGAAGAATAACTCTATCAAAGCTGGTTTGTCCTAAAAAGAAAGGCACTTCTGGGTTGTTTTGCCTAAGGGCTCTACATATGGTCCTGATGAAGTGAAGAGATGGAGCTGCAGTCTTCAGAGACCACATATCATAGCCAGGAATACAGGTCAGAAGACATACTATATGCATAAAACCACCATGTATCTTATTCTTGCCTTTCTAACTAAACTGTATCCTCACCCAGTAGCAGTCTTTTGACCTTTGTGGTTCCTTCAATACAGAGCATTAAAAGTACATAGCACTTCATGCTTGTTAAACTGAATCTTTCAGAAGTATGGAATCTTCTAAAATCAAAGTAACTATTTTAACAATAATTACTATTGTTATTATTATTGGAATCAGAAACCCTGCTGTATGTAGCAGTCAACAAATACCAATGACCCAAGAAAGCTTRATTTCAATATTTCGAGTTCAAGAAAAATACCTTCACAAAAATCAAACTAAAAGCTTAGATATTAAGTAACCTAGCCTAAGTTGTACACTTAACTATAATGCTGGAATCCAAGAGTTAGACTTCTGGGCCACAGATTATTTTTTCTACTCTGCTATATTGCCTGTCATTATATATGCTAAAGCTTTATAATTCCAGTTCATTAGAAAGATAAACTAAAATATCAACAAGGTGAATCAAAGTATTTTAGAAGTTATAACTCTAAAGATATATTTAGTACGTACAGCAAGCAACAGATGTCCAATCCAATATTACTTACTAAAGAAATAAAACTCTATTGTAGGGGCTAGGATTGTGGCTCAGTGGTAAAGCACTTGCCTAGCACATGTGAGGCACTGGGTCCAAACCTCAGCATCACATAAAAATAAATAAATAAAATAAAAGTATGTGCACATCTACAACTAAAAAWAAATTTTTTTTAACTCGATTGCAATTGTCCATTTGAATGTAATTAGTGGATCTTTGCAAAGTGCTTTCTTTACAAGTTAAGTTCATAACTTACAACTCTTTCCAGTAATTTACTTGGTAAATAAGTAGTGAAAAGATTCAGTCAAGATTTGACTCAATTGGGTTGATTGGGTTATGAGCCTTAACCTAATCAGCACATTAATCCACCTGAAGTATTAACTGGATGGTAGAGATAGCTGAAGGAGGTAGATCATTGGGAGCATGCCTTCGGAATATATATATTGTCTGTGGAGAGCAAAGCTTTCTTTCTGGTTCTTTGTTGCCATGTCCTGAACTGCTCTCTTCTAACACACTCTTGAACTGCTCTCTTCTAACACACTCTTCCGCCTTGAAGGTTTATGTCTCCTCAGGCCCAAAGCAATGGARTTGGCCATCTATTGACTGAGACTTCTGAAACTATGAGCCCCAAATAAACTTTTCCTCCTCTATGCTATTTTTGCCAGATCTTTTGGTCAAAGCAGCAAAAAACCTCACTAAAACAAATCTATAATTAGATTAAGCTTAAACTAATATTGAGAATGTACCTTATGTCTAACCATTGTTCTATCTAGGGTATTATAAAGAATAAAGGCAAGTGAAATATAAGCTTTAAGGAAATATAGTTGAAGATATACAATGTATAAAACTGAGGAGCCAAGCTTAGTGGGGCACATCTATAATGCCAATGACTCAGGAGGTTGAGGCAGGAGATCATAAATTTGGGGCCAGCTTCAATAACTTAGCAAGACCATCTCAGAAAAAAAAAAAAGAAAAAAAGAAAGAGAGAAAAGATAAAAAGAAAGAAAGAAAGAAAGAAAGAAAGAAAGAAAGAAAGAAAGAAGAAAGAAGGAAAGAAAGAGAAAAGAAAAGGGCTGGGGGTGGGCTGGGAATGTAGCTAGTGGCAGAGTGCTTGCCTAGGATGCATGAAACCCTAAATTCAATCCCCAGCACCACAAARACAGACAAATAAAAAGGGCTGGGGGTGTAGCTCATGGGAGAACATTCCTGGGTTTAATTCTTGGTACTGCAAAGAAAAAGAGTATAAAACTTAAATGTCAAAGAACAACATGGGGGGACTGGGGTTGTGGCTCAGCGGWAGAGCACTTGCCTTGCACCTGTGAGGCTCTGGGCTCAATTCTCAGCACCACATAAAAATAAACTAACAAAATAAAGGTATTGTGTCCATCTACAACTAAAAAAAAATTWAAAAACAACAACATGGAAGTTAAAATGTCAATATGCATATAAAACATAACCATGGTATATATACTAGACTAGGTTTTTCATCTCACTCACCATTTCCTGTCCCCACACTGTTCCAGATCTCATGTCCCATTCAAAAATTATTTTCTCTACCTCTCATCCAGAGGCTACAATATCACAGCATATAATGACCATTACTGGACTCATAGTTCACTAGTAAAACTTTCAGACCCATTTCCCCTGGGTAATTGCTGATTTTTGAGGCAGATGTCCATCAAGAAGGTGATCTACTTACATGTTCCAGATTTGTTTTCATTACTAATGGCTCATCTCTTTTTTTCTGTTCATCCATTTTCCTTTTCCCTGTTTCTGTGTCCTCTGGTAACAGCTTGTGGATTTGGTCTTCAGAATTTTTTTCCTCTTGCAACTTTTCTTCTCTCAGCTAAAAAATGCAAATTACACAGACAGTAGTTTTAAGCAATTCTAGACTTAAAAACTTCTTTAGTCAACAGAGTACAAACAGATCACAAGGCAGTTTTAAAGACTGCTTTTCTTATCAGATATAGCCTTCTTGATTTTCAAAATGTAAATCTGCCTTTACTTGGCTCTTACCAAATATATACTTCATGATTTAAAAGATTTAACTGCTCTGCATTTTTTTTTTCTTTTCTTTTCTTCTTTTGGCAGTGCTGGGGATTGAAATTCAACCTATGGTCTTGTGCTTGCTATACTAGAGCTCTACCATTAAGATATATCCCTAACCCTGCTCTGCATTTTTAAGTAACATGAAACCATAAGAGCTAATCAAAAAATAGCCTCACATAAAAAAGTAAACCTAAAAATTCTCCACACTTCTATAAGCCCAGTATAACTATATTGGACAAGAGCAGAAGCAGCCAAAAACCAGAGAAACTGGACTAAATCTCATTACCGACACCAAAAACATGACTTATTACAGTTCCAGTGTTCTACATTTTATGCTCTTATCCTATGGTTACAGGATACATTAAGATCCATGGTCTAAGATGCATGCTTATAATCCCAGCTACTCAGGAGGTTGAGGCAGGAGGATTGAAAAGTTCAAGGCCAGCCTGGGCAACTAAGAGAGAGACCCTGTCTCAAAAATTAAAATAAAAATAAAAAGGGATGGGGTGTAGCTCAATGGCAGGATGTCCCTGAGTTCAATCTTTAGTGCCAAAAAAGGACACAGGCTCTACAAAGAAATTTAAAGCAAAGRCATATGTTCCTCATTTGGGGGAGGTAGCATGGCATTTATGAAAATAACATGGGTTTGGAATAAAAATCTGGGTGATATTGAGGCAAATGAATCACCATTTTCTTACTCCAAAGTAGGGATAATGCTTTTTTCTTTGCAGAGCTTGCTGGAAGGAGTAAATGAAATAGCATAAAACATAGTATTTAATATAGTTCCTTGCGGTGCATCATGAATCAAGGGCTTCAACAAAATTTAAATGATAATATATATCAAGTCAATTATAGGATATTAATAATTTCAACCATTCTTGCAAAAAAAATCCTGATAGGCTGTTGCCTCAAGGTTAACAACAACAAAAACACCATAATAATAAATAACAATAGAACCTTAGTTTTATCTTTCCAATTTCTTTCTTTTTTTTTTTCTTTACTTTCTTTAGGTAAATTTCTTTAGGCCTGATTCCTGTAAGCATGAACTMGTTTTTAAGACACTGAGTCTAATTCAAGAGGTGCGATGGCTCACACTGAAATCCCAGCAACTCCAGAGGCTGAAGTAGGAGGACTGCAAGTTCAAGATGAGCCTTAGCAAATTAGTGAGGCCTTAAGGACTGACTTAGTGAGACACTGTCTCAAAATAAAAACATTTTTAAAAAAGAGCTGGGGATATGGATCAGTGGTTAAGTGACTCTGAATTCAATCCCCAGTACCCCCCCCCAAAAAAAAAGTTATGAGTATGCAAAGCACACCATGCACAAAGCTATGACAGGAAAAGATTCAAATGAATCTCTGCCCAAATCAAACAAGAACACAAGGGAAGGAAAAATAAAATAAAGCCATAGCTGGGGAGAAAACAAAACAAAAGCCTGTGTTGCTCACATAAAGGAATCAATGTCTTTTAAGATCTTAGAAGTTCTTGTTCAACAATTTGACCAAATGCTACACTAACGGGCATTTTACTTCATAAGATAAGCCGAACAGCACAAAAGAAATTGGGTTTTACCATCATAATAATTTTATTATTTAATAAACTCTTATGTGTCAAATGCTAAGTTCAGCATGATACATGTGTGTGTGTATACACACACACACACACACACACACACACACACATTATCTAAGAGTCAGATAATGTGTTCAAATTGATTCACCAAAAGGCCCTAGAATTCAACTCTAGATCTGTCTCAATGGTTCTCAACCAAGGATGATTTTTGCCCCCAAGGGAACATTTGTCTGCAGAAACTTTTTGTTGTCATTACTGGAGGAGTGGACTACTAGCATCTGGTGGACAGGGATTGTTGCTAAACATCCTAGATGCACAAGTTAGTCTCCTCCCACAATAAACAATCTTCTAAGTACTAAATTTAGTTTTATACATTTTAGTATGATTTTGTTTAGTGTTTAAGGATGTATATTTTTGCCCCCTAATAATTTGTATTGCTGCTCCAAATTTTTAACAATAGACTTGTTGGCAAAACATAGTCTTCATTGCAATGGAGAATCACTGCTAAGAAGTCATCATCTTAACAAAGCTAACAGTTTACAAAAGTGAAAGTCATTCATCCATTTAAATCTTTTAAAAAATTTTTGTAGAGATCATTGGAATTTATTCTTTCAAAAAAATTTTATATATTTTTAGTTGTAGACGGACATAATACCTTTATTTACTTATTTTTATGTGGTGCTGAGGATCAAACCCAGTGCCTCACACATGCTAGGCAAGTGCTCTATCACTGAGCTACAACTCCAGCCCTCCATTTAAATCATCACATGAATAATGTTGGTGTTTTCTTCTATATGGGTGAGATACTAAGATATATATTTTTTTGGTTTGTCCTTTTCTGACTCTTAACTCTAATAGTCCTTGTTATTTCCTAAGTAACTAGAATAATGTTGGGGCATTTCAGGCCTCAAGAAATCAAAATCGCTTTTTCTCTGACCTTCTCCTGCCCCCCATACACTCCACCTGTCACCTTTTCTCTGTTGGACCTGACCCTAAAGAAATTCTCTTGCCTACTTTGTCTAATAGTAGACCACACAAAGACCTCTCCATTTCAGGAGGGGTCCTACCTATACCCAGAAAGGCTACACAGAAATGCCAAGAAGAATGAACAAACAGGCCTCGCTAAGTTTCCCCAAGTAGTGTAATAGCATTACGTCATCCCTTTTTGCCCACTCACATTTGAACACAATTGTCCATGTTTCAATCATGCTCCACATGAGCATGATTGAAAAAACCTGAAAGTACAGAGTACAGAGAACTTCTGAATAGCTAAGCACAGGAAGGCTCCTGTGGGATAGGATATCTGAGAGGGCATGGAAGCTCCACATTCCTTTCCACATGATTGGCCCTATGTATCTCTTCATTTTTATATCCTTTGTGATATCSTTTCTGCTTCTTAAATTTTTTTAAGTCATAGATGGACACAATGCCTTTTATTTATTTATTTATTTTAATGTGGTGCCAATGATTGAACCCAGTGCCTCGAACATGCTAGGCAAGTGCTCTACCACTGAGCTGCAACTCCAGCCCCCTATGATATCCTTTCGAATAAACTGGTTAACGTAAGTATTTCCGTGAGTCCTATGAATCACCCTAGCAAAATAATCAAACTATTTTAGGAGGGAGTTTTGGGAACTGCAATTTACAGCTGATCAATTAGAAGCATAGGCAAACCAACCAGAGGCATCCATGGGGATCGATCCCTGAACATATGGAATCTGACACTATCTCCAAGTAGACTCTGTCAAAATATAAATAAATTAGGGGACACCCAGCTGGTATTCACTGTAGAACTGATTACTTGCTTGGTGACTGGAAAAGTGTCACAGGCTTGATGTCAGAAGTGATCTATGCTGTGAGAGTGTAGCAGGAAAAAACAAATCTGAGTTGGAGGTTTGTTTTCACTATATCCTCATAACCCAGTTCTGTAGAAGGTGAGTTTTTTGTTCCTTGGTGGTCATTTATAAAGATATGAGAACTTTGCTAGCCATGGTAGTGTACACCTATAATCCCAGCAGCTCGAGAGGCTGAAGCAGGAGGATGGCAAGTTCAAAGCCAGCCTCAGCAACTTAGCAAGGCCCTAAGCAACTTAGTGAGACCCTGTCTCTATATTAAATACAAAAAGGGCTGGGGATGTGACTCAATGGCTAAGTGTTCCTCGGTTCAATTTCCAGTACAACCCCTACCCCCAACAAATGATATGAAAACTTGGGCTCTAGGAAAGTATTTTTACACTGAAAACTTCTCAGGGAGGGTCAGAAAGTAGCATAATAAACATGAATAAGAATTATCAATAGCTACTATTTACTGAAATCTTCTCTGTTCCAGGAATTAAGTTTATAAAGCTTATCTTATTTAATGTTTATGGACTGTATTTGTATCTATTTATAATTACCATTTTATATACCTGAAAAGTTGACTCTGTGGTTATTTCCAAAGTTACAGAGACTGAATACTGAAGACCTTGGATTTTAAAGTAAACCTCTTGACTTCAGATACTCAACTTCAGAGCTACTGACATTTTGATTTAGGTGATTTCTATGGTGGGACCTGAGCAGTCTGAGAAGGTATTTTATACATTAATACTTTTTTGGGAAACAGGACTTGAGGATGTAGTAGCATAAAAGGGAAAGAGAGAGCCAAAACAAAGTGGCACCAACAGTTGGCTCAGCCATCAGGGACAATATGAGAAACTGTAGGAAATTCATTACAAGATGGTCAAAAAAAAAAAAAAAAGATAAGCATAATCATTCAAATTAGCCAAGAGGGCGGAGAGGGCAGAGAGGGCGGAGAGGGCAGAGGGAGAGGGAGTGAGGGGACAAAGCCTTCCGAACCTCAGCAGCTTCCTTTTCCTCCTTCCCCAAGCAGACCCCAGAGCCCCTGAGGCCCTCTCTCCATCTTAGGAACACGCTGGTAATAACAGGAAACTAAGAGGGACCCTGTGAGTAGCCAGTACTGCTCCTTTCTTTTCTGGAGRACGCCTATACCAGAAGTGGATCTGTTGGAGCTGGAAGGCCTGGGTCTGTCAGATACACCCACCTACAAGATCAAGGACAGCAGTGTTGGCAAAATGATCTGGCAAGCAACAGGAGTAGAACATGAGAAAAAGGATACCCTCCTAGAGTACAGCACCTTCAACTTCTGGAGAGCTCCCATTGCCAACACCCACTCCTTGGAATTGGACTTGCTCTAAGGCCAAGACTTCTCTTTCCCACCACCTTGCCCTT